TCCCTTTTGACTTTTGGGCAGACCCTCTCAAGTTTTGCACCCCTCAAGTTTTAAACATTGTTCAAATTAGGCATCATCTGGGAGAGGATACCGACTGGTTTCCCTTTTGACTTTTGGGCAGACCCTCTCAACAGTTTTGTCCCCTTTAAGTTTTAAGCATTGTCCATTGCCGCCCGAGCAACTTGGCGTTTCCCCATTTGTGCGGCCACCCTCACAACAATTGTACATTATGATCCCCTCAAGTTTTAAACATTGTCCAAATTAGGCACCATCTGGGGGGGGATATCAACTGGTTTCCCTTTTGACTTTTGGGCAGACCCTCTCAAGTTTTGCACCCCTCAAGTTTTAAACATTGTTCAAATTAGGCATCATCTGGGAGAGGATACCGACTGGTTTCCCTTTTGACTTTTGGGCAGACCCTCTCAAAAGTTTTGTCCCCTTTAAGTTTTAAGCATTGTCCAAATTCGGCACCATCTGGGGGGAGGATATCAACTGGTTTCCCTTTTGACTTTTGGGCAGACCCTCTCAAAAGTGTTGCCCCCTTCAAGTTTTGAGTATTGTCCAAGTTAGGAGGATACCCGCTGGTTTCCCTTTTGACTGTTGGGCAGACCCTCTCAAAAGTTTTACCCCCTTAAAGTTTTAAGCATTGTCCAAATTAGGCACCATCCGAAGAAGTATGCCCATTGGTTTCCCTTTTGACTGTTGGGCAGACCCTCTCAAAAGTTTTATCCCCTTCAAGTGCACCATCTGGGGGAGGATACCAACTGGTTTCCCTTAAGACTTTTGGGCAGGCCGTCTCAACAGTTTTTCTTAAACGGTGTCCAAATTAGGCACCATCCGGGAGGGGGGGATATCAACTGGTTTCCCTAAGACTTTTGGGTAGACCCTCTCACAAGTTTTGCCCCCTCAAGTTTTAAACATTGTCCAAATTAGGCACTATCCGGGGGAGGATACCAACTAGTCTGGTTTCCCTTAAGACTTTTGCTTGGGCAGACCCTCTCAAAAGATGTGCAATGATGTGCATATTTTTGTGGGCAGGGGGCCGGGTCGCTGTCGGTTTCCTGCTGGCCTTCTTTTTTAGTTGGACTAGCCGAGCCTATTTGAGCAACAAACGTATACATTTCAAAATGATGCCTGCAGAGGGGGCTGAGTTCATGATATGCATGTGTGCACGCGTGCATGCATGCGTGTGACATGGATGTGCGCAGCATACGCATGCACCTAGGTAGCCAGCGTCCGTGCTGTGGTGGAATCCGTCAGATCAAGCGCCGAGGACTGATGATGACAACTCGCGCATTTTGCGTGGTCGGCTTTGATCAATTTGTGTGCGCGTTTGATCCCAGGAAGCGGGCAGTGCTGCCACACCATGGACATCAAAAATGGCGAAGTACCGGCGCGTCTCCAACAACTCGAGGGACTTCTACAGCAACATCAAGCTGCCACTGGACTGCCGCGGACACACACCGTGTCCACAAATCCCAGCGTTGAAAACCAACTTCTCAGCTGGGTTTTCATTAGCGCCCCCTGTTAGCTGGGACGCCCCCTTGTTTTGTACTTGTTCTACCTCTGCATCGGTCGCACGTGGACAATGCGCGTGCCCCCTGAGGAGCCGAGTACGGTGACCGTCTTGGCCAAGACGCCCAAAGGTGACACATGCCACCAGGACTTCCCACTCATCCTGCCGCACAAACTGTTGGATTTTTGGCGCATGTGCTTCCTTTGAAGAAGCTCGAGTGCGACGCATTTTGGCAGCACATGGAGGCGGTACACGACCCATGGGCACTGTCTTCATCAGCGTGGCGCTCTGACCACGAAGTGTGGCCAGTTGGCCTGTACGGGGACGAAGCTTCCATGGGTTTCGTGGGAGGTGGGCCAGTAGAAAAGATCATCGGCCTTTTTCTGAATATACCGTTGCATCGACCAGCATCAACGCGTCTATCAAGATTTCTCATCTTCTCCATCTCCTCGGAGTACGTAGTCAGCGCCCAGGACACGTTCTATCCGGTCTTCGACGCGATCGTGAGGAGCTTGAACGCAGCATCCACTGGGGTCGACCCTGATACCGGCGCCTTCTTAGGACCTCGCCAGCAGCGATTCCTGGTCAGTGAGCTACGTGGCGACCAAGCATGGTTTAGATACATTTTCAGGCATCGATCGCACTGGAGCGCTATCGAAATCTGCCCTCGGTGTTCTGCATCTTCCAAAGGCCCAATGGTGTACTCGGGGGACTACAAGGAAACACCTGCATGGGCTGCAACCATGCGGTTCATTGTGGATCAGTGCCCCCTGCCACACTGTGCTTTGGCTGACTTTGTCGCGCTCGAGCAAGTGTTGTGTGTGTGTGCATGTGTGTGCATGTGTGTGCATGTGTGTGCGGATGTTTGTGTCTCTGTGGCACTGTCTCTCGATTTCTGTGTCTCTGTGTCCCGTCCCGATGTGTGTCTCTGCTGTGTTATGTCTTTGTGTCTGTTTCTCTGCATCTCGATGTCTGTGTCCTATATGTTTGTCTGATTTGTGTTTGATCTGTGTCATGTCTGTGCCTGTGTGTCTGTGTGTGTCTGCGTGCGTGCACGTACATGCGTGCTTGGGTGCCTGCGTGCATGCATGTGGTGCATGTGTGTGTGCATGCAGTGTGTGCGTGTGTGTGTGAAATTCCTGAAAGGGAGGCCATGTTTTGGACAGGATGGTTTCAACTTGGACTCTCGAAGAGGACATGCTTTGGGGCCGGTTTTTGGGGCTGGTTTCAATCCAAAAAGATCTTAGACCCAGTTTAAGCGCACCGCAAAGGGCCCCTTATTGGCAGGTGAAATCGTAGATTATATTTTGCGGGGGATCCATCGACCTGCTAAATTTCGAAACAAAGGAGTATACTAGCGCAGCGCTAGCAGTCAATTGAACTTACGTACTGCCCATGCGCTCAGGCCCGCTGGTTGGACTCCGCTTTTTTGCGGTGAGCCTGTTGAAGCACTGTACGCTCCACATCTGCAATCTGGGCCTGTGCGCCACAGCTTCAGGCTCTTGCCTGATCCTGGGCTGCATTATAGGTCCCCCCTTTGAACCGGATCTGCACGTTGGTGCGCGCGCGAGCAGTGTTCTTGCAACCGCAAATACGGCAGGTGCTTTTCAAGTATAATCGATCTTGAGCGCGTGAATGAGCCCAGTCGGCGCGATAATTATGAAGTCGATGGCCCCATTTTAAAATATACCTCATCCAGTTTTGGGCCGACCGACTCAACTACTTTCAGGATTATCCCAAGCACGATACGATCTATTTTGTCTGAGAAACGTGCAACCCGCACAAATTGAACAATGCATTTTCACCGTTGTTGATGACTATTGCGTTGGAATCGGGGCCAAGCTTGTTCGGAAGAGGGTACCCCATATATAGGACAAACTAATTCAGAAGGGGTTCAACTTGACTGACCTCTTGAGGCACCCTGTTGATGTGGAATCTGAACCAGCTGATTATGTCTGAGTGTGAGGCTGATGCTGATCTGCATGGGCGTCTTTGGGCCGGCAACTCCTGAAGATGTGAGGGGCGCGCTGAACACGTCTTTTGATGACTTCAGCAGCTGGAGGAAGGCAATGGGGTTGCCGTGCTCGCAGAAGCGGTTTACACCAAGACTACTTCTGAAAGATGTTCACGGCGCGCACCTTTCCACTAAAGGGTTCAATGCAAGAATCATCATTGAGTGGATCAGGGATTGCTTGGAGCGGGTTCACACTTCCAACTTCAATGGCCTTCAACCCGGACGCACGCTTCAAGCGCCAGTGCTTGGCGACAATCGGTTGCCCTACTGTTTACTTGCAATGAGCCCCGGCTTCAAAATGGGATGTTTTGAGGGTCGTGATGCTGTGTTAAACAATCGGCTTTCCATATCTCGCTCTCTCTCTCTCTCTCTGCCATTGCTTCCAGAGTGTCTTGACTCAGGAAGGTAACGAAAAGGCGGCATAATGGTTTTACCCTTTGAATTCTGAAACAACGGCCTGTGACCTGAACGGATCGATAAACCCCAATCAACAAAATTTCTGATCCAAGGAATGCCCTGTGCCGATTTTTCGGGCTGATGGAGCGGTCCTCGAGGTTCTTGCGTCTCGGCCGCGCCATTGGGTAGGAGTGAGCACGGCAGTGAGATGACTCCATGGTAGTCCCCTAATAGCCTAAGCAAATTGAAATTTGTTCGAACGATGGGTGGGGTACCGGGTTGATTGATGCGACAACGTGATGTGGCATGGCATTTGCTAGCGAGGTTGAGTAGCCCAAAATATTAATGAGTTGGATGGGCCCCGAAAAAATATTGTGATTGATATTCTGAAATCCCGAGTAAAACAGGCCCCGATTTGATCAGGACGGCCGTCAAGGCAGCAGAGATTGCTCGAGCTGGGCGGCGCTTCATCAAGGAGCACCTCCGCCTCACTTCGATGAGCGCGGCCATTCCGCAGCTGGCATGGGTGTGCGTTCCCAAGGTTCACGCTCCTAGCTTGCATTAACGGTGGGGGTCCGAATTAGCGTACCAATTGCATCAGCACAAATCGCGGGTTCCTAGGCGCTTGCACATGTATGCGCAGATTGCGAGGCTAACCGCCACTTGGCTCAATGCGCCGTATATTGCGCGTTTGTGCGCACGTGTGTGCGCAGTCCATTTTGATCCAAGGATGCAACCCGCGCTTCTACCACACGTTCTGTGATGAAGATGGCATGAAGCTTCTGAAGTCCATAGCGCGCAAACAGTCGAAAGCCCGACGTGAGACTGGCATTGCTCGTGTGGCCCTTTTGCGATGTCTCACTGTGAAGTGGCAGTACCGGTGAAAATTCATAGCGTGAATGAGCGTGAAATTTCCTAAGACCATGTTTACTCGATAAAGACGTATGAGTCGATGTTTACTCATGTCTTTTGATGCCCTGGGTTTGCATATCTGTATATATAATTCTATATGTGTATATATGTATATATGTATAAAGTAGTGAAGAACTAGCCAGAAGCTTCACCCCGAGGCGCATCTCATCCTCTGAGAGGACGCCGTCTCCGCTCTCGTCCATGGCGTTGAACACGCCTCGCTAAGGGGTGCTTAAGGGGTGGTTGCCATTTACCCTACAAGAACCTGTTTTTGGTCTTCGTTCTGTTGGGGATTCTTCTTAATGGAGCCTGCTTCGACCCTGCGGATTGCTAGTCAAATCCCCAAACCACCAATTATTGCATATGTATATGTATACACGTGACACACAACCAAGGGTGCCCGGGTTCAAGGCGTTCGGCAGCTAGGCAGGGCCATGGCTCTCAGAAAAATGGAAACTAACATTACAGAAACCCAAGATTAATCACTCCCTGCCTGATATGGGGGCAAAGGATGACCAAAATCAGAGCTCCCCCTTCTGCGCGCCAATGACAGAACGGCTGCTTGAAGCACCTCGTTCAGGCCCTAGTGGCCCTCCCCAGAATCGATCCTTCACAACTCACCGGTGCCACCAGCTCTAAGCCGCTTCCTAAGACCTTTAAGGATACCAAGCCACCAAAACAAGAGCAGGCAACGCAGGAGCTTGTTGTGTTTGTTCTTCGTTTTTAAGGCTGTTTTGTTTTGGGGGGTTGTTTTGGGGGGGGGGCTCTGAATTGGTCGAACGAGCCGGTTATTTTTTGGGCTGGGTTGGTTCGGAACAGTAGAAACACATGGGTTTGTTTCCAAATCGGCGAACCCTCAAACACGTCAGTGTTCCTTCTGATTCCCTTTTAATAAGCCGAAAAGAAGGGTGGCCTCAAAACATAGGTGACGCTTTGGAAACATAGATGGTCCTTGTACATGGAATAAAAGCACATCTAAACCAGCGGAGACCATCTATTTCTAGCCAAACTCACCGAAAAGCTCTGCTGCAACAAAGTCACTCAAATGGGAATGCAACCAAACCAATCTAAACCAGTGCCATCTATTTCTAGCCAAATTTAGCGATCAAAAGCACAATGGGAGCTAGCCACTTTGCATCAGTCAAGGCGCTCTCCAACTTGCGGATGAAGGCCGCCTTCTTTCGAAGCCGCTCCTGGATGATCATTTCCTCGGCCAGGAGAAACGCGACAGACAGAGAGGACGCAAGCACAGGCACAACAGAGACACAAAGACAGAGACAAAAACCAAGAAACAAACACAGCACACGCACAAACAAAAAAGCAAACAAACAAGCCAACAAGCCAACAAACCAACAAACCAACAAACCAACAAGCAAGCAAGCAAGCACGCATGCATGCAAGCAACCAGTCAAACAAGCAAAGCGAGCAAACCAATAAACATACTTTCTGAGTGGGTTGGCAAACAAAAGCCCAACCGGTTGTTTGCAACCAAGCCGGACTTCCAACACAGTTTGAAGTTCGTTTTAAAAGAGCGGATGCGACAGAGTTTCCGCATCGCTGCTGGCTGCCTCCAGGGTCTGACTCAGAAAAATCGCCGTGATGACGCGGATGACCTAAGGGATCTGAGCATGGGTGTCCGTTTGGTAAAATAGATGGCCCTGGTGAATGGAACAAAACCAATCTAAAACACAGTGCCATCTACTTCTAACCCAAGTAACCTAGAAAGGACACCTATGGATCTGGGCCTTCTCGAGCGTGAGATTTGGCCTAATCACATCATGTTGATTTAGGACCATGCTAATCAGGGGTGGCTCCCTTTTAGCAAGCAAATCCGCCGACTCCAGTCGAGCGTGTAGATGGCAGTCCGCAACTTGGTCTTCCTTCGGACCTCTTCTCAAAGCCGAAGGCTGTTGGGGCTGCCATTTTTTGGGCATGGTGTGCTGGGCGTCCAAAACCCTGTAATTGTCCAGTGTTTTTGGGGCGTGCGTGCTAAACATCTGCGTTTCGCCTAGGTCTCCAGGGGGGGGGTTTTCCCCCGGACGCGCAGGATCTGCATCCACAGCATCATCTTTTTTGCAGATACTAATGGTGTTTTGCTGTTTCAAGCGATGTTGGAATCGGCCTGTTAGCCAAGTGCAGTGATACGTTGAGGAACTGATTGAATTTCCGAGCGATTTTTTTGCAATTCCCCAACTGTACGGAGCAGTTACTGCGAAACATCCCCTGCATTATCGTGATTTTGGAAGTTTTTGTTTAGGGTATTTGAGAACAGTTGCTAGTATCTGCTTTTGATGGTTTATTTTCGGAAATATCAAACAAAATCCTGGTTTTTTGGACTTTTTTGTGGCCAGCCGGCTGCATTCCCAGCATTCCCAGCATTCCCAGCATCTCTGGTATTTTCTGTGTTTGGTCAATTTTGCGTGTCTGAAAGTCTTGAAATTTCGGAAATTTCGGATGCGAAGATTGGGTCTGTTCCTGTACGTTGTGTGGTTGCATCCCTTGCACTTCCAGCATCCTCAGCATCACTTCCATGAAAAAATGAAAAAGGTCTTAAAATCCCTTGCACCCCACTGGCGTCGGCGGATCGCGTAGCGATTTCAATCATCTATAATTGCGGTACTCTAACAAGTGGGGTCCTTTGGACTTTACTTCTGGTCATCTGATTCGGAGGGAGACCGTCTTTATGTCTTCGTGTTTATTGATTTATGTCTCCCCCTGCACTCTTGTCATCTCACTCAGACCCGTAGCGAACAGAGAGATTGCAACCTTAGGGACTAGCCACCAGGCGCCAAGGACCATGGGGAACTCAAGGCTCAACCTGCTAGATGTCTTAAACGGGGCCTGGTCACAGGGGATCCCCTGGGAAGAACTGCCAGTTGGGTGGAAACCCGGAAAGCATGAGACAAACGCACCGGGGCCGATTTCCGCAACAAGGGCCCTGGGCCAACACCATGTTTACAAGGTGAACACCACCTGAGGGTGCCTGACTGGCATGCCTCGCCGCGATCGTGGCTACGAAGTGGATTGCAAGTGCCAGGGCTTGCCCTCAAGCGGCACGCGAGGCTGAATCACAACTTCTGACTTGCCCAAAGAACCTCGAACTCAAGGGAATCACAATCACCTGTTTTGTGTTGCCATGACTGAACGTGGCCGCCAAAACTGGAAACAGAAAGAAGTCAAACGGTTTTGAACAACTGCCATTCTCTTCTAACCAAGGTGTTGGGTAGCAGTGGCCGGAAAGCCTGAAAAGGCTGCATATGGGGCTTTTCAAAAGCAACAAAACCAAAACCAACCAAAACCTTTGGTCGCATGCTTCAATACCTCCCGGCGATCGCGTAAGCTCAGTAACGCTTTTGGAAAAAGCAATGGCACTTTGAATAGAACCACGCTGGAACCAGTCGAATCCACCCATGCTCACTGCAAAAGACACCTATGGATGAGGCTAGTTTCCTCAGTTCTTGAGTGGGCACAAGCCAACCAAACCCATGCTTTTCTCTGCTACGAAACAGAAGAAACCAGCTGGGAGCGAGTTAATGGCGGCTCCGGGGCACCGCAAAAACAATGAGAGTAATGTAGGCGAGGTAGAAGATGACGAAGGCGTGGCTCACATTCTCCAGCACCTCGTACCCAACTTGTTCCGCACATCAACCCCCATCCGTTCCTGACTGGATTGGCCCAACACCAAGTCTAAACTTTTTTGCCACTACAATGGTCCACAACTTGTTCCGTCTCGGGGATGGGAGGTGCCAACTGTCCCTTGGAAGGCGGACAGGCCAACAGAGATGCTCATAGAGCCCCACTGCAGAACTGTGCATCCCCAAAAAGTAAAATCCAGAAACTTCACCTTCACACACAGGTCTTCGCAAAAAAAAAAGGTGTGAAAAGGGGGCACCCAACACCTGCTGGTGCCCTTGTTTTGGCGAGAAATCAAAGCATATCGACATTGCCCATTTAGCAACCTGAAATGCTTCCAGGTCCTCCAATGGAGAGGTTAGAATAAGGGCGCCCTTATTTCTGTAGTCGATTTTAGTATTTTAGATTATTTTAGTAGGGGGACCCTCCCCCCAAAAAGGGGTAAAAGGGCACTACTGGGGGACCTAGGGAATGAAGGTGCAACTTGGTACTTCTTTGGTGCCCTGGGCTTTCGGCGAGGGTCCCCACCGGCGCAAACCAAACCAAAGGCAATATGCCTTCGCGGCCCAAACGCAGCCAGATTGCTGGTCGTGCGTAGACAGGCCAGTTGCCTGCGAAGGTCATATAGTACCTGCGGGAATTTCGCCGGCCGCTGTGCCGAACGTCAAAGCCAGGCATCAACACTTGGTCATCGTCTCGGCAGCCTTCGTGCTTGCAAGACTTCACAAAAGAAGTGCGTCAAGCAACGAGAGACCGACTCTCAAGCCGGCCCGTGGTGCAACCCCAAACCGCCAGGCAAACCAGCGAACAAGCACCAACGCTTTGTGGTTGTTTGTTGCGAGGTTTTCCGGGGCTGAACCAGCTTAAGCACTAGCTGGACCTCCCCCGGCCACTAACTGATCCAATGCGGCAGCACAAAAAACACAACTGCCTTTGGGCAGGAGAAGTGGGCATCTCAGAAGCCTCTCAACAGTGGATAATGAACATGTGCATGGCTTCACCTGGCAGGTTGCTTTGGAGCAGTCGTAAGCTTTCCATTTCCATGGCTTCCGCATCCAAAGTGTTTCCAGGATTTCCACGTGAAATTGTAGGGGAATAAAAGGCTGAATCATCCCTCCGACGCTAGGCCCCCTTTAGTGCCCGGTTACGTGGCGACATTGGCCTAAACCAACGGAATACTTGTGCTGCTAGCCACCAAAGAAAGAAAACACCACGGTGTTTTTGCCGGACACCCCGACGCTGAGACCCTTGGCCAAGTCACATGGTCAAAGCCGCCCGGTAAGCTGTGCCATAGTGGAGCCACATCCAGGTCCTCTGAAAGAGAATTCGGAGTTTCCCATCATTGCTCACGCAGTCAGAATGGGGGGGGGGGGGAAAACAACGTCAACCCGAGGTTGATTCGTTGCTTGGCTTCCCAATAAGATCATGCAAAGCCGGGCCGTGGCTGTGACTACTTTCACATCTGTCACACCTTAAAGGTGATGGCACCCCCGGGTCAATCGATCCCCGGTTGACTTTGGATTGGCGGG